CCACCCGATAACATACAAAAAAAGTGTAGTTATTGGTTTAATCAATAGAGCGATACATTTAACAAGTCCCATTTATCGACCTAAAATTATAAATAAAGTAAAAAATATTTTACTAGATAATAATTATCCTGCTAAATTTTATAACAAAATTATTAAACAAAGAATCTTTAACTTCTATAATACATCAAAAAATAAAAAACCAATAAATTCTGATCATAACTCTGTCAACTGTCAATATATTGCATTACCATATGTACAATCTTTATCTGAAAAAATTAAATCCATTTTATTTAAATACAACATTTTAGTTGCTCATAAATCGTTTAATCAATTAAATAAATTTTTCACACCTTTAAAAAGCAAAACTCCTGTACTAAAACAATCTCATGTAGTATATTCTATTCCATGCAATGATTGCAATGGTCATTATATAGGTATGACATCACAAAATTTAGAAAATAGATTAAAGGGCCATAAATATACTAAAAATTGTGCAACAGCTCTTAATAAACATGTCAAGGAAAAAAAACATAGTTTTAATTTTGATCAAACCAAAATTCTCGTTAAAGAACCAAATTATAACAAAAGATTAATTCAGGAAATGATTCATATAAAAAAAAATAAAAACAGTATTAACGATAAAACTGACATTAAAAATTTAAGTCAAATATATCATAATTTAATCAAATAACAATAATTATAATATTTCTAGTATTTCCATTTATTATCATATAAACAAATCACATTTAAAATAGTTTTCTATACTTTTAAAATATAATTTCAAATAAAATTACTAGATGTCCTTTCTGTCTTTAATGGGTGGGTGCGTGCGTGCGTGCGTGTGTGTTACCATTAAAAGTTTTTATTGAAAGATAACATTTTTATTACAAATTGTTAACAAATAATTTTTTGCACTTTTGATAAATTTTTTTGTGAAATTAATATTTTTTAATATTTTTAGTTTATTCAACAGTGTACTATTTATTATTTTAAATTTGAAAATATGGTAACTCAAAAATGGCTCTTCATCAAATAAAATTAAAGATTTTTCTTAAAAATTAAATTAGCTATTAAATAGACATATCCAACTTCTTATTGATAATATCTAGGTTTCTATACCATTTAGTGAATTTTTAGCTCAACTTTCTTTCATCAGTGTGTGGTATAACGTAAATATTTTATATTTCAAAACATCCTTAATTTCTATTGTAAAATGCCATATTTCAACATTTGCACTTTCATTCTGAAACACTATACTTATATAGTTTTTCATAATTTTGCACTAATTCGAATAGCACCCTATTTTTTATCATCGTGTGTTAATTAATATGCACAGTATCCAATTACTGAGTATATAACGGAAAATCACAGATTGCTGGATTCAAAATAGGCCGATTCAGACTAATTCACCTGTATCAGAATTTTTTTTATTTTACTGCTAGATAATTTTATTTCCTGAGAAATTTTTTTAAATAGCTATAAAACAATCGATTATTTTTATGGTATGGGTTTTTGCTTTCAATGAACATATTTCGGTATTATACAGAGTGGTTTTTAAAACATACAACTGTTTGAAAATTGATGTATGAAAATAATCTTCCAAAACTTTTTTCTCATGTGCAAGCTTCATTAAATGAACGGTTTAGATACATAAAAATAATTATTAAATGTCTACATACCTTGCCACGCATACATGATTAATTTATTCTTTTTTTCAGGTTACAAATACATGTTTGATGATAAACTAGTTACGGTTTGGTCAGCACCAAACTATTGTTATAGATGTGGAAACATTGCCAGTATATTAGAGTTTACAACTACTGATAAAATTGAGGCGAAACTTTTCCACGCAGTTCCAGATTCGGAAAGAGTTATACCTAGTAGGAATGTTACACCTTATTTTTTATAAAACAATAATAAAGTTTTAAGTCACTGTTTTGTTTTACTTTTATTAATATAGTTTTATTTTATTTATTGTTTATTATTATGTTATTAATTATTATTTATTTATTATTAATTACATTATTTATTTTATTTTTTATAATTTTTTTCATTTATTATTATTGATTATTATTAATTTTTACATTAAGAAAAATATCTTGATTTGATCAATGGAAAATGACTGATGGAAAAATTTTATCCCTGGATGTCTCTATGCGACAGCTACAACTAAACTCCCTAAATCGATAAAGTACTGCAATCATCCGCCATTTTGGGGCAAATTCCCTGTTGCCAAACTTGAAATATAAGATTTAACCCTTAATAAAAAAAATTTCTTATGTAAAAGCACGTATTACTAACCATATGCGATAGTGAAAGAGAAGGAAATACATTGCAAGACAAAGAAGGAGATGCATCCCAGTTAAAACCCCGGAATGCTAAGACGAAATACATGGAAGAAAAGTGCACTTCGCTCATCTTTGGCTACTTTGCATCACTATTCGTGTATTGTCGAATAGCAGATCTTTCTGTGTTACTTTCCACAGCAACACCGCAAATGTGAATGTGAATGTGCGTTATTATTTATTTGATTTTATTTTCTTGTTTATTATTGTTTATTTACGTGTGTTTAGTTTAAGGTGAGTGAATATTTTTCAATCATATCTATCGAAACATCCAGTAACAGTTATAGTTTTTTCCTCTGAGAATATTATATATTTTAACATAAAACAGTGGCTTAATGTATGAATATTCATTGACATAGGAATAGTCGAAATGAATTTTGATTTATTTGGATCAAATTATATTTTAATTTTCTTAAACATTGTTGTTTATTTACGTGTTTAGTTTAAAGTGAGTGAATATTTTTCAATCATATCTATCGAAACATCCAGGAACAGTTATAGTTTTTTCCTCTGAGAATATTATATATTTTAACATAAAACAGTGGCTTAATGTATGAATATTCATTTGGATCAAATTATATTTTAATTTTTTTAAATATATTTATTTAATGTAAAGTATTTCGTATTATAATATGTACAGGGTGGTTGATTTTCGATAGTTTTATAGGGTACAGCCAAAACGGTGATAGATACAAAAAATCTGATATCGATGTCCCGTCCTCTTTTTTTGAGTTTACTTCGCTGGTAACAAAAGGTCTTGGCTAACTTGATTAGTTTTAGATATACAGGGTTTTTTT